ACGGAGGGGCACAAACGCATGTTTTGGACCTTTTTTTCTCGGTTATTTTTTTTTTCTCTTTACCCGGTTGGCAGATGAAATACCAAAAGTAGAATACAGGTGCGGATTAAGGTCAGACGGTCGGGCTGAGGAGCCCGAGATTGAGTGAGTTAAGGTGAATCAATAGTGGATTTAAGGTTGGGAAGTAAAATGGAAATTTAACACCGATTTAGTCGTCGAATATATAAATAAGTAAATATTTTTAATTTTTAAAGAAAATTTATGCATTATAGTTTACTTTCAGCATACAGAATCGAACCAAAAATTGTAATAAACTAAATTAGTTTAACATTTCAGTTGGTATAAAATTTTAATATGGTTATTATAACTAAAAGAAAAAGAATTCAGGCATATGGTTTCAATTTCTTCTTGTAAATATGAGGATCATATATTTTAGATAAGTGTCTCAATATAAAAAAGTACACTTTGTTTAATCCATTATTAAAAGTTTTAAGTACAAAGAAATCTGAAAAAATTATATTATGTAAAACTTCAACGTTGAATAAAAAAGGTTTAAAGAATTATTATACAAAGATTAAAACAATATCCATTAAATCATTATATCCTTCCGGGAAGCCCTGGTACATATATCGAACTTAATTTTATGAATCACTGGGTTTTTTTTTTTTACTTGCAAGTGAGGAACTTTTAGTTGTTATCAACATAAGAAATATTATAGTAGTAGGTACTTATACACGTTGTACATACATATTTATATATATATACAGCATACTAGACGTAAACAGGCAAGAAACTCCGCGCGAGAAATATGCTTGCAGACTCCACAACTGGATGCCATAAGAAGTTGTACTACAACTCGATGTTTATAGTATTTGTATTTGTAGAATGCTGAGGGGCGAGTCTGCAAGACGTACTACAAGATACACAACAACAACAAAAACAGTCAACGCAACATGGAAACCGGTTCGGACAACAACAACTTACATATAAATGTGTGTTGCTACACACACACACACACACACACAGATACTCAACCTAAGCGCACTTGTGTGTGCGTGTGTATTTCTGAAGACGAAGACATTATAACAACAAAACCGCCAAAGGGGCTAGAAAGAGAGGCAGCAGACTGAGTGAGAAACAGACGCCAAACGAGACTATAAAGCCCCACTCTCTCTCTGGCTCTCCTACTCTCTCCCACATTTACACACTAACGCAATTCTACCTCCTTCTTCTGCTTCTCTTTCATATTCTTGAACTTCAAAAAGTACAACGATGAAAATCGAACAAAAACCCAGCATAAAACAAATAAAAAGAGAAGAAACAAACAACAACAACAACAACGAAAATATCAAGCCGTCAGACAGCTACTGGTGTTAAACCGTAGTACACTCACACACTTGCATAGTAGTACAACCCACTCACACAGATGCGACCGAATCAACTATATAACCGCGTGTACAACGCTGCGTATACGCCATGTCTGGCTGACAACGCTATACGTCTTCTCTGCCTGCCTTGCCTTATCGTTCATTTTTTCTTCAGTTCTTTCCTCGTATTTTGCCCCACACTCTTAGCAGCTAATGCTCATTGTATATATGTATGTACAGACATGCATATAGTATATATAGTATATATGTATGTACCGCTGTTTTGCGGACGATCGTCATCTGTGCAGCCTGCAGACCAAAGAAAACGAGCGAGCAGAAGAAACCCCCAGTGCAACAGATATGTATAACATATGTACATACATATTTATGTTTTTAGTATGCTCCACAGAAGCTCTGCAATCAGAATTCAGTAGCTGGAGATAAATTTCTGGAATCCTAAAACTTTGGATAAGGGAGTGATGAATATGCGATATGGCTCCTTATACCAGTATAAATATCCTAAGGCTATCAACATTTTTGAAGAATAATAAAATTAATTTCATATAAAAGTTCAGGGAGTGATGAATATGCGATATGGCTCCTTATACCAGTATAAATATCCTAAGGCTATCAACATTTTTAAAGAATAATAAAATTAATTTCATATAAAAGTTCAAAAACATAATCTTTGATAAGTTATTTTTTTATAATAATTCATAGATCTATAATTTAAAATTATTTAAAATATTATGCAACCAAACAATTTGGGTTGCATTAAAATTAATCTTTGACGTATTGAATTTGACATATTCATTATATCGGATATATTCATGCTGAACTCCGATGAATTTCGGTCCCCTCTCTAGTGTTATTTCGGATAGCTCCGAACGAATTTTTGCTGTCTCCGTTTGCCTGAATAAAGACTTCCTTTAAGAGGCAACACCGGCTACAGATAGAACTTAAAGACCATCCATTACAAATGTTTTTCTTTTTATTTTGTGTTTATATTTCCATCCGGGCATGACTGCTTCTCGGATTTATGTACATGCGTACATACAGACATATGTACATATGTATATGCCTGCCCTTCTGTCTGGCGATCAACATGATCTGGTTTTGTCTTGGATTTTGGGCTATTTCAACTTTTTGATGGATTATTATTGAAGTTTGGGCTGTTTGTTGTTTGAAGCTGTCGTGGCTTAATTCAGTTTTGTAATGGTTCTCTCATTGGTTGTTGTTTTTGTCATATAAAAAAAAATTTCGAGATACATATCTTGTAAATGAGTTTTTTCTAGTCAAAGCAGAAGATTATTTCTTCAAGGTTCCTGTAAGATTTTTGTGGAATTAGGCTTGAGGCTGGAGACTAATGACAAATAAATTAAGCAGATGTTCAAAATAAATGATGCAAAAGAATACATACATATATCTTAGTATTTACACATACACATGTACATAGGAACGTGACACAACTTCCTTATTAACTTTGAAAATTAGATACCACCGTCCGTAGTCACCAAAACTTCTTCCAGTGCACTGGCCTAATTGAGAAACTAGCTTCAATACCAAAATTGGCTCATTGTCCTGGCCATAAAAGGCGAACACACGCACACCAACTACCAACAACACCAATATTGCAATAAAATACGATACAAAAAATAACTAGGAAAGAAAAAAAAACGTGCCATGCCTCGAATAATGAAGTTAATAATAAAAATTAAAAAAGAAACATTTGCCGCTAACGATAAACCAAATTTGTACAAATAAAATAAATTAATAAACAATCGGCGTGCGCGTTTTTATCCGTGAGGAGTGTGTATGTGTGCGTGCGACTGAATTACTAAGTTTTTGCCACCAAAGTTGGATTGCCATTATATATAGTATTCAATATATATATACTCGTACAGCCCGAAGTCGTAGACATAGCAACGGGTTTATTTCTATACAGCTGTTTGGATTAATTCACAGAACTGTTTGCCAATTAGCAACAAAGAGTTCTTGCCGTTGATTAATTATACTGAAAAATTACCAACCCGTATGAGTGAATGACAATAATATAATTATAGAAGGAAGATATATACTAAAAACAAACAATTGTAGAGGCCTGCAAAAAGAGTGAAATCTACATGGTAAATGTCAATTGAACACGCCTTTGTGCTGTACAAACGATAGTAGTGGTCACAGTAGTCTCTCAGAGTAGATAAGTTCGGTGTATTTTTGCAAAACTTTTAATTTTTAAATTTTATTTTTTTAAATGTATGGGATATAGCAAGCGTGCTGATTTGCGAGTCTTTAAATTTGTCTGGTTTAATTAGTATCTTAATTTTTTACTAATACTAAACGTTTAGTCACCACTGTAATCACATACAGTATGTATGCATTACTTTTCACATTGATGTTGCTGTACTAAGTGCGTCTAGTAATTTGCTGATAATTATCAACAAATGCGCGCTCACGCACATTCTAATGTAAATTGGACAGGCGAACTATGAAAGGGTGGGGTGGGGTGGTCGTTTTTGTGGCACAGAGAGATAGAGAAAGAGAGAGAGAGCTCTGAAATAATAACAAAAGCTACGCAGCACTCCAATCTCGTGTGCGATGCAGTTGCCAGCGAGAGTTTTGTTGCTAATTACACCAATACATCGATGACCAGCCAGTCAGAGTGCAAAAGCCTATGTGTGAGTGCGTGCCGGGGAGGGGGAAAGTGTGTGGGCGGTAAGCTTCAGTTGGTAACAGCCCATACACTCGAAAAAAAAAAAAACAATTGAGCAAACAAAATAAAATTATATTTTATGTGTTTGAATATAGGCAATGGTAAATCCAACTAGTTTATTACTGTTTTCCACTGAAATATAAAACACATTTGGGCTCATTTACAGCAAAAAAGAATGGTGACTAGTTATTATAGTAAATCGAGACTTAAGTTCTAATGTTGAGCGGCCAGATAACAACTAACCAAATCTTTTTCGCCGTGCAGTGAATCTTTATTAACTCATTTGTTGTTAACCAATTCGCATGTCAACCATCTTGATGGTTTCCCTAATGAAAGCCACTGAAAACCAGTAACTTTTATCTCTTTTTAAAAATTTCAGTAGCCGCTTCGCACTCCATTGTTTACAAAAGCACATTTAATTTGAATTTCAACATTTCACATTTAACATATCAATGATAAAGAATGCACACACACACTGGCACAATCGCTCGCACACCTTTGTAAATTCTATGAGCCATTGTTTTGCCCCTTTTTGTTGTGTTATTTATGAACAATATGATGTGCAAATGTTGATGAGCATTGTTCCTGGAGTTTTTTTGTTTAAACTTTAAAGAGAGAGCTTGACAAAAGCAGAAAAGAATTTCTTAGGCAAAAAAAAAAACGTTGTGGCCTGACCAGCTACAACAAATGCATATGGTCACACTAGTTACCAATACGGGAGACAGAGCGACAGAGAGAGTCAGAGAGCAGAGCGGGGGTGTGCTGGTATGTGTGGCTGTTTGTGGAAATGAATGAAGCGCTGCTTGCCAACAACGTAAAAGCAAGTGTAAGAGCGAGCAAGGGAGAGGGGAGTGAGAGGTGAAATAAGAAATTTTCCAATTGGCGAGCAAGCACACAACAGGGGTAAAAGAATTTGCGCTTACCTCTTTTGCTTATTGACGTAGTCCGTCCGTATGTGTGTGCGTGTGAGCGTTTTTCTTTCGTTACTTCTCGTTTACTTTGTTTTTGTTATGCAAAAAGCATAGATTATTTGTTGTACACGTTAAAAACACAAACACTAAAAATTATTTAATAGCTCTCTCGCATTCTGGCTCTCCCGCGGTGCTCTGCACACATGCACTGCAAATAAATGTTATGTATATATTATGTATTGGTGTTTGGCTGGGGCTTTACAACTTTTCCACGAGCAAAACAACGCACGACTGTGGAAAACGCGAACCGACGAACCGAAAACCGTGAAAAGTGTTCATTCATTGAGGAAAATTGAAATGAGCGCCTCTGCATGTGTCTCTCTCTCGCGCGCACTGCGTCCGCTCTTTTTGGCTGCTGCCTTGCGCTCTTGTGACAGTGTTGCCAACTCAGCAGCAGAGCGCCAATGCCAATAAGCCGAATTGGTAGGATATGTATGCAAATGCAAAGGGCTTGCAAGTGCCACTTCAGATATTCCAATTCTGATTTGATAACATCAATTATTTAATTGGAATTCTCGGGCACTTGGTGCGGGTTGGCAACACTGCTCCGTAGCCCAGCAAAACAGACTGCGCGTCTACGTCACCGTGCGAGTGTGTGTGTGTGCTGCTCTCTTTTCCTTCTCTCTCTGCCTCCCACTGCCCCTCTTCTTGTCACACGCGCATTTTCGTTTCGATTTTCTATTGTTGTTGTTATTATTTCGGTTTTTATTGATTAAATATTTGTCCAAAATCCACGCTTAACTTAATCACAACTTAGTTCTTGTAGTTCTGCAACACACTCACACTTGTGCGTGCGCGGGTGTGTGCGTTGTGTTAAATCAAATTCCGTTGCTTTGCGTTGCAGGCTTTAGGACTTGAAAACCAACCGTTTTATTCACTAAAATACAACAACCGCAGTTATGTATTATTATTATGCTTTTGCTGGGAGCACAAGAACAATTTAACGCCCGCGACCGAAGTTTGTATGGGACCTGCGACAGTGCTGCCCGTTTCCCTCGATCTGGCTATTTTCAGAGTCAAGTGGCGAAAAGGTTTTTAAAACAGCGGGAAATCTGGTCTTTTTATATGGGTTTATTTATTTAGTTTAATCCCCCTTCATTTGTTACGTTTTCTTCCGTTTTCTGGCAGCGGAGCGGTACGCGACGTTGCTTTGCTGAAAATTTGTTCCGCGACACAACCGCCTCCGTGGAGTGAAAATTTTTTTGAATTTTGAATCAGTGTAGCAGAGCTGCCAATTTGTATTGTTTCCCGTCAAAACTGACATGCGGTCACACTAACTGCTAACCGTCCTAGCTATATAGCTGGGCGGGCTAGCTATAAAATTTGGCCCTAAAAAATCTCTAAAAGTTAAAAAATCCCCTTGAGAAATCCACACCTGATATTCGAACCACACTTGATACTCCTACCACATCTGATACTACAACCTCTGGTCAATCGCGCATTCACTGACGATCTGGTACTTTTGGTCGCGCGTGCACGAAAAGTCTGGCAGCACTGGGGCGTTAGAGTCGAAATGGAATTGTGGAAATGGAACACGGAGGAGATTTTTTATTTTTAATTTAATTCGTAAATAAGGCACTAATTTGAAACAAATAAAGTTTATAAATGCTAAAATATGAATTTACTAATAATTTTTACTGTGTTTGGGGGGGCTTTAAACTTTTGGGTCTATTGAAAAAAAGCTCAACATTTATTGTAATTGTACCCTGCAAATAGTTTTATTAAGTTCTATCCGCCAGTTTTTGAGAAAATTGCATAATAGTTAACTAACCTCGGTCTCTGCTCCGTACAAAATAGAGCAGAAAAAATTGTATATAACAGTTAACAAATTTGTGCCAATATGCACGCTATACTGGCTTACTAAAGGGAAATTTAAAGAATATTTGCTAAAAATTGCGCAAGTTTCAAACCGTCAGTTAAAAAAAACAAAACCGCATAGCAGTGGGTGGTGTAGGTGGGCTGATAACAGCGGCGCGAACTTTGAAAATGGAACCAGCTGTGAACCTCCAGAGAACCAGTTGCCGAACCAGACAACGGAAAACGAAAACTATGCTCTAATTTCGAATTAAATCTTATTGAACCGACAGATTTTGAGAAAATCTAGTTTTTCTTTTTTCCGATCCCCAGCCGCCACTGGGCATACAGCTGGCCAATGTCGATGGCCTTCAGTGTACCTGACCGCTTCGCCGAACTGCATCGGCTCCTGCAGCATGCGAGTACTTACTGGCTATTTGTGGGTAATTCGGCGTTTTGGTGCTGCGGATTCCTGCAAGTCGTGTTCACTTTAAACATCTTAGAGTTCGGGGAGGAATTCCTCAATTATCACTCTGACGCTGAAAACTGGGCGAAAAAACTATAATTTTTGGTTCAAATTATAATTTTGACAAAAAACATTAAAATACTCAAAAGTTAAATATCCAATATTTAAATAAAGTTTTATATATTTACATATATATGCATGCGCATGTCCAGGGGTCGCGAACAGACGTTCGTATGCAATTCGTGAAAAAAGATTAAAAAAAAACGTTTTCTTAAACTTTTTAGTATCAATGATGGGGTTTGTTACTCGAATCTTTCGATTTCGATTAGCGGAGCAGATTGTTTTAATCTCTCTTCGCTAATTGTTTTAATCTCCACGTGGTCCTCACGCGCTAGCCAACACTGTAAATAAACTCATTTCCGGAATTGTATTCAACTGGATCTGGATAAGAAGTAAGTTCGTTGTAATGTATGTATTTGACATGTATTTTATTATGTTATTTTTTAAATTTAAATTTTTATTACGGTGGCTGCGGAGGAGGCAGAGGCGGCCAAGCATGTGGTCGCGGCCGCGCCATCGACGGGAGCAGCCTGAATAGGCACCAGCGCTGGGCTCTAAACCTAAAAATCACTCAGCAAGATGCCTCTGCTAAACTAAGCAAAGCTGCAGAAATGGACCCATTGCAAGAACCTGGTTCTCCCAGACCGCTACTGGATCAGGACGATAACGACAGCGTCATCTCAATCTCCTCGTCCATCCAAGAAATCACTGTGATGGATCCAAACACCCAAAGCATCTTAATGGAGCTGGGTGTGAGCGCTTCCATATGCCAAAAAATTGCCGACACCATGAACATGTGCTCCAACACCGGCAAGGAAAACGCTGGCACTGAAAACACCACCAATACTCCAAATTTCGAAGCTCCCAATGATGAGAACATGTCTCCAGCTAACATAGAAGCAGCACCTAAACCAAAAGCAAAGAGGCAAAACCACGGAGGACCCCGCAACAGGCAGCGTCGACCCGCCATAACTACCTCTTCCTCTGCTACCTGTTGCATGCCATCTACCTGCAGCTGCGGAAACACCCGGAAAACCCTTATTGAAAGGACTGCAAAATTGGACTCGATGCTTGAAGTGGTAGCCACAAAGCTGGACAGGATGTCTGCTGACACCAACATCACAAACATAGTCACAAATCCCAATCTCCAATTAGACTCAGTCTCGTCGGAGGGAGACGAACAACACCTACACTAAACATCAAATTCGTCTATAAATATTCATCCATAGCCACATACTCTAACCATATATTGACTATTAACCAACAACATAAATATCATAATCATAAAAAAAAAGAAAAAAATAATAAAATAAAAATAAACAAACAATAAAACTGAACAACTATTTTGGATCAACTCATAAGGATAAGCAGGGAGATCAGTGATAATCTAGAAATTGATCTAGAGCAAAAATAAAAAAAACTATGTTCAATATAAGAAAAGATAATCCTAAGCATATGTACTTCCTATATCACCACAACAAATTTGTTTACTTATTCTATACTCAAAATCAAATCAAAATAGCTAATCACTACTCAGGCATGGCCCTCGCCAGAATGGCAATAAATATGGACCATCCGGAACTTCGGCGGGAGTTCCTTAACCTGCCAAATAGGGCCTATGCAAACGCCACTCTGGCGGATGTTATGGAGGAGGACCTAAACTCATATTATATACATACCTAATAAACGTTATCTATTATATAAAAATAAGTCTGGTTTTCTGCCAGGATCCTATTACTCCAGAACGCGATCCAGCTTTTGAACATTAAATAAAAACAAAAAATACTCTGATTCCTTTCTTGTTTTTAACTTGGCTTCCAGAACTTGTTCGTGGCACCTCAGAGTGCCTCCGCCTGTAAGCGAACATGTAAAGAGAGTGCTAGAGCTGCCATTATCATTCCAAAACTTTCATGAACATAATTTCTAGGCTTCAATCGCAACATCTCAGTGAACATGAAAAAATGCTGGCCATTAATATTTTCATGACTAGCCCGAGGTGGTATAGGAATTTGAGAAATAATTTAGGCTTTAATTTGCATGTGAGTCAACCATTGACAATTGGTTGCCACTATCAAACTTTAATTCAAGTTTTGAGCAGCATTAAAGAAATGCTGTTGCAAAGATGGAGCCATTCCAAAGAAATGGTATCCTCAATTTCGACGAAATGCCCATTCAGCCAAGCATAACATAACATACATACATTGACATTTCTGATAGTCATAGGTTATGACTGATAGAGATAGATAATCTTCTCCAGCCACAGGAATGCTTGCATTTATGGTGCGGGGAATAAATTCAGATTGGGAATATATACTTGGAGTGGTTTTTGTGAATCATAATATTGTTTCACATAATTATGCCGATATTGTTGAAAGAGCAGTAACGACATGTAAAAATCTTCGTTTAACCGTAAAAGTTCGTATTTCCGATCAGAGTAGGATAAACATGTCTATTTTTGAAATTTTACATACAAGAGAATTTTTTAGAAATGATCTTGAATACGTTTGCGACTCTGTGCATTTGTTTAAAAGCATTAGAAACAATTTGCAAAGTCGAGATGTTGAAATAGATGGCAATGTTGTGTCTTTGAGTGTCATCGAAAAACTTTTTAGGATAACTCAATTCGAACAGTTCGATTGACCCTAAAATTAACCACTAAGCATATGTATCAGGAATTTTTTGATAAAATGAATACAAAGCTAGAGGTACAAGTGTTTTCTCACACAGCCAAGCTATACTAAGCTCACAATCATTTTTCCGATGTGCAGAAAGCTGTTTCTACGGCAGACTTTTTGGGAAAAATGAATGAATTATTTGACTTATTAAACAAAAAAAGTTTAACAGCCGAAAACAATTCCAGATTTTTTTTGGGTCAAAAAACAATGAAGTTTTTATTAGATTAGTGCACCACGAATTTTCAGAGTACTTGAAGCGAATTAAAATGCTCCAATTCAAAGAATCTGAAAGTGAATCGCAGGCAACATGCATATTAGAACTATTGAAAACATGTTCTACTAATAAAATATGCACTAAATTAATTAAAAATATAGAAGGAAATGGGAAGCATATTTTCTTGAGTATATTTAATCAAGATTCCCTTGAACATTTCTTTGAATTTCTTAAAAGCAAATTTGGAACTTCAACCAGTCCGACTATAACTGAATTGAGATACGCATTAAAGAATATGTGGTCAATGACAATTGTAATTCAGAATACAGTTGGAAATGCTAATTGTATTCCAGATTTCGATTATTGTTTTGATTGGTCCGTTGTCCCCAAAAAATATAGTCCAAAAGAGGAAGCCAAAAGTCTTTTCGCGATCATTAAAAATGAAAGCATTGAATTAGATGAAAGTGCAGACCCATTTAATGGTTGTTTAAAAGATCCACCACAAGAGTATTGCGAAGCTATGATTAGTGAATCTAATATCGAAGACTTGCCATTATATATGGCCACTCGATATTTGTTAGCTACCTTTGTTTTTAAACTTTTCCCCGTTGAAAATTGCTTAAAATGTGTGAAAGATTTTAACAATTCCAATAAATTAAGCGATAAATCGGAGGAATTCATTAAAAACAAAATCTGCAGCAATGCTAATTTATATTTTAAAAATCCTTCAGATGCTATGTTTGCAGTCACGCTACTGAATATTCAAATATTTTTCGCAGAATTTCAAGCATGGCCTAACCAACCGTTTATTTTGAATGTAGTTCTTAAGAAATGTGTTGAAGAAACGAATATGAAATATCCATATTGGTTTGCAATATCCGATCCATGTGCTTTACATAGGCGTAGCATACTTACTTGTACGCTTACTAAAAGTATTGTTGCATTGGCACTGCAAATGGCTACATGAGAAACTCACCAGCGAGAGAAATCAAATCC